TAACAATCGATATATAGTACAATGACGATTATATCATATCAAATAAACCATAAAAATAAAAAAGAAGTTTTGATCCAAACAATTATATATGGAGGCGACGGACGAATATAAGGCTTGAAAGTGTATTTTAAGAAAACTAATAAAAAGGAAAACTATAAAAATAAATTATATAACTTGACAAAAACGTAACTTTAAAATATATAATAAGGGACCAAAATCATAACTTATAATTTGTATATAAACATGATTTTCAAATGCTTACGGTTCTTATAAGAACCTTATATAGAACGGTGACCATATACCATATTAAGTGGATCACAAAAATATTAAAATAAAGTTGTAATCTTAAAACACATAAAATACCATAAATATCGTCTATATAAATTATGAATAGAGATTAAGAATGTAAATTAATACTATGAAAATTTATTAGGTTTAAATAAAAAGTAATGTTAATAAATACGAAAACTATAAAAAAATATAAGGGATTAAAAAGAAACTTTAAAATATAATAAAAGTTTAAAATCACAACTTATAAAATACCGATAATTTAACTTTAAAATTATGAAGAGTGAAAATGAAAAATATTATATCAAAATTTTTTTGAAAGGATAAAGTATAAATATGAGAATATGCTTTCCAAAAAATACTCTTATTTTATATTGTGTATTGTGTAACTTGATTTGGTTTTAACCATTTTGGCTTTAGAAATAATAAAGGAAAATCAAGAGTGCCTTTGAGGGGACACCGTTATTCCAAATTAATACATAGATAATGTTCTTCTTAGAAGGATTTATTATACCAATGGTAGAGATGACATGAACTATATTTTATAATTATTTATAACTATAAGTTGACTTCTCTGTATGGGAGGTATTGGTAATTTTTAATTGTCTTCGGTAACTCATAAGTTCAATATTTGATTTGCCAAAAGGTGTATTCTATAAATTTTCTATTGAAAATGACCATTTTTCTAATTTTTAACACATGGGCTATTTGCTATAAAAAAATTCGGCATAGGAACCTTTTTCAGTGATATTTTGTAATTTATTTTCTATAAAGGGATCAAACCTGCGAACATATGAAATTCTTGTGATAAAAGTGTCAAACTCAAAAAGTATACTATTTAAACACGTAATATATATATATATATATATATATATATATATATATATATATATATATATATAAACTGCATATGAACGTTTTCTGTTCATATGGAAAACTTTTGTAATTTATTTTCTAATAGGACCAAATCTACCAACATGTTAACATGTTATGGTCAAAGTTTAAAACACCAAAGTCTACTATTCATAGGACAATTATATTAATTATATATAATAATATGTTATTGAGTATATAATTATTGATATATTAAAATATAATAATATTTTTTTCTCTTTTACACTATGTTTTCAAGTTTAAACTTAAGAGGAATGAAAGGGAAGAGAAGAAAATTAGAGTTCCCCTCCTTTCATTTCTTTCACAACCATCCTATTTTTTGTGGAATACATTTTAAGGGAAAAAACTTCATTTTCTTTCTATTTCATTCAATTTTCTTTTCTTCACATCTTTAAATGGAACTTGAGAACATAATTTATTGTTTTCATTTCGTTCATCTTTTAAAAAAGAGTCAAAAACACAAACTTTTTTTTAATATTTCCTTCATTATACCAAAGGGCTTCTAGCTCAGCGGTATCCGGTGTTGCCCTCCCTCCTTGAGGTTGGGGGTTCAAGTCCCGTCGTGGATATATGTGAATTTAAGGTGTAGTTTAGGAGTAGGTTAGATTTGTCGTTTAAAAAAAAAAAAAAAGGTGTTATGTACACTTCTTTTCATAAATGATTAACCCTAATTTGTGAAAATTGAATATAAACAAGAGGCGATAACTGCGATATTGCAACACCCACTTGTCATTGTCATGACAACACCATACCATCTCTAACAAGATTCCAATAACATCCAATTGTGTTTATGTTTCACACGAACAATATCGTTGATTCTTGGTCTTGGCTTCTTGGTTTTAGATCATTGTGATATTATATAGTTTGTTATTTGGTACTAACCAGTAATTTCTTATTATCTTCGGATATCATTTTGTTAGTTAATGATTATTGAAATCTTAGATTCTTAATATATATTTTTTTGTATTGTTGATAAATGTTTTCAAATCATTTTATTTTTTATATGGAAGAATCATCTCCAATTTTAAAATTCTTTAAATTATGTTGTTTGTGTATTCTAATTTTTTTTTTAGGATAAACAACTTTTTTGATCTTTTTTTTTTTTTTGAATTTTTTTTGTCGTAGATTGCTTAACTTTTTTAGGTTTTCTAAGTTCTTTTAATTTTTTTTACAATTTCATTTTTATAATTTTGTTTTTTTTTATGTTTTTATAATTTCATTTTTATTTTGTTTTTTAATGTTTTACGATTTTTTTAACAACTTCAATCCTTTTTGTTTTTACATGTTTTTTTTAAATCCATTTTTGTAATTTTATTTTTTATATGTTTTTACAACTTTGTTTTGAAGGATAATGACTTAAAAGGGTAATATATTTTTCGATTTGTACACATTTGGTCTGAGTTTTTTTTTTCGTCCACATTTACCTCTTCAACTTGTTAAACTGTATACATTCAGTCCTTATGACCGGCTACTACAGGTTACCCGGTAAAAATGACTTAATAGGGTAATATATTTCTCACTTTGTACACATTTAGTCCTTAATATTTTTGTACACATTTAGTCCTTTTTTTTTTGTAAAATAAGTCATTTTTTTGTACTCATTTAGTACTTATGAATGATTTTTTAGTTTTTTCTCACGAAATCTTACGTGGGACATTCATTAATGAGGTGTATGAGGCTTTTGATGCTTATATTCATCGCGATCTCCACTACTTGGTTGCTTAGGTCATGTGTTCTGAACGTCATAACTTCTTCATATGATCTCAGATTTTAACGATCTTTATATCCATGCGTTCATATTTTAGTCTACTACAACTTTCATTTAGATTACTCCCATTAAAAAATAATATATTTTACTTACGATTTTTATATCCATACGCGGTAGCGGATTTAGTATGGTCCCGGTGTTGCACCGACAACACCTGTTTTTTCTGTTCGCAGTGGAAAATTTTTCGCTTTTTTTTTTTTTCCGTTTATACCTATTTTCCATGTATCGGCAACACCTATTTCATCTCGGCAACACCTACTATGTATTACTGCGTCTTCCCCTGTCCATACGTTTTTTATGAATGCATGTATGTATGTTTTTTTTTATAAAATCGTTAGTAAAAATATATTACATTTTAACGGGAGTAATCTTAATGAAAGTTGTAGTAGACTCAAAAAATGAACACGTGGATAAAGATCCTTAAAATCTGATATCGTATGAAGAAGTTACGATGTTCAAAATACAAGACCTAAGCCAAACCACAAGACTTACGCAACCAAACAGTCGAGATCGCATTGGACATAAGCATCAACAACCCCAAGCACCTCATCAATGATTGTCTCACGTAAGATGTGGTGAAAAAAAACTTAAAGAAATCATTCATAAGTACTGAATGAGTACAAAAAAAGGACTTATTTTGAAACAAAAAAAATGTTAAGGAATAAATATGTACAAAAATATTAAGGACTAAATGTGTACAAAATGAAAAATATATTACCCTATCAAGTCATTTTTCCCGGCTAACCTGGAGTAACAGGTCATAATGACTGAATGTGTACAGTTTAACAAGTTTAAGGGGTAAATGTGGACGGAAGAAAAACTCAGTGACCAAATGTGTACAAATCGAATAATATGTTACCCTTTTAAGTCATTATCCCTTGTTTTGATGGTAAAAGAAGGTCTAGAAGTTAAAGTGATTTAATGTGACTAATGTTACAGGACAAAAAAAAATGTAACAACGAAGTATTAAGTATGATTGTATAAATAAAGTTGCAAAAAATGTAAAAATGCAATTGTGAACAAAATGTAAAGACTACGTAAAATAATATGTGAAAGCTGAAAAAGTTAAAAGGACTAAATAAACCTACCATAAATCAATATTGTCAAAGATCATGATTTTATCAAAGATCGTTTTATGTTTTGCAAAATCGGATCGGGATCGGAAGATCCTACCAAAATGAACTTCTATTCAAATTTGCTCGTAAGATCTTATTGATGTCGATTAAGACGTCAATATGAAATCGACTTTATCTTTTTTTAAGATGAATCACATTTTTTGTTGTTGCAAACCATAAAATTAGGAAGAAAACATCTTAATTACAAAAAAAAAAAATCATTACGATCTACATCTAAAGGCTTATGGTCACAAACGAGATAACATGATTGTAGCTTAATTCAAGATGAAGTGATGAAGTAATGATGATCGATGAGGATATTATAACTTGCAATGCTCGATTTTAAGTTGAATCGAAATTTTTGTGAGGTTCAATTATATAATAAAACTAAAGATGTGAGATCCGATCGTGTTAAGATCTTAAGATCTTAGTCGGGATCCTAAGATCACACTATAGTCTATAGATCTTGATATAGATAGATCCTAGTAAGATTGAAATCATTTTTTACTTCTAGAATCTTAAAATCGTAAGATTTTAAGATCAATATCAAGATTTTAACAACAATGTTATAAATTAAGAGATCTTAAAATGCCAAAAAGGAAAAAAAAATTGTGTATTCTAAAAAAAACTGATATGTCAATTCACAAAAATAAAATGCACACAAACTAAACAAGTTAATGAACTTTAAAACGCAAAAAGTAATAAAGTGGCTAATACAGTATTTTGACCCAATTTCATATTTAACCCTAATTTATATGGGAACTGAAATTAAAATTAAATTAAAAAATATATAATAATCAAAGAAATATATCATGGTGTCCTACTCAGCATTTCTTGTAGGTGCTCTTTGTTAATTACGATTGATAAAGTAAGAACAAAATCTTCCCCAATCATAATTAACATCTGATTAGCTTAGATTAATATAATTTGAAAGAATGTGGATTTTCGGAAGGAAAGGAGAATCAGGATTTTCATCTTCTTCAACAGCAGAGGAAGTTACCCACGGAGTTGATGGATCTCGTCTCACCGCCATTGTTACTGGTACAACCATTTTATTTTGGATAAATCGCATAAATCAATTTGTATGAATTTTCATTTTAGCAAATTTACGATATAAACCAGTTAATAGTTACATATAATGTTTCATATTTTCTTTCTTTTTCAAATTTACTTGTTGATAAATTGTTGATCTTGCATATCTTTATATGATTGCAAATATATTTGTTATATTCAAGAAAGATGGCTTTGAGAATCTTCATAGCTATATATATACGACCACAGTTAATTACTTGTAACTAAGGTGCTGTAATTTTAACTTTATTTATGTTGTTTGATTTATTAAAAGTCAAATTTGTAATTTTATTAGTGTTACATGTGCAAAATTTATGTACTTATGTTTTTATTATTTTTTATATATATCTACTTTTTATGTGTATCCAAGTTGTATAATTTTGTTGTTATACTTATAATTTAAAAAATATATATATATATAATAATAATAATAAATCATAGATACAAGTATAGAAATAGTGATATGTATCTAATTTTAGGAGCTACGAGTGGTATTGGGGCTGAGACTGCACGTGTCCTTGCTTTGCGTGGTGTACATGTAGTGATGGCAGTAAGAAACATAAAATCCGGTAAACAAGTTAGAGAAACTATACTTACAGAAACACCTATTGCTAAAGTCGATGTAATGGAGCTCGATCTCAGCTCTCAGGCATCTGTAAGGGATTTTGCAACCAGATATTGTTCTTCAGGCCTTCCACTATACATTCTAATGTAAGAAAACATATTGATGATTAAATTTATGTCAAAAGCTATATATGACATTTGGTGTATTTTGTTGTAAGCAACAATGCAGGAGTTTTGGCTCCACACTTCACACTTTCTGAGGAGAAAATCGAACTACATTTTGCAACAAATCATTTAGGTATGTTTGGTTGCATTCACTTTTGACTATTGAGTTAAGTTACTGATTTCTTAATCCATGCAAAGAAATCATTTTGCATGCAGAAGTAAAATTAAGAAAAAGAACGTTCTTACAAGTTACAACTATATTGTCATTTTTTTTCCTTTTGGTTGGTGCTTGTTTTAAACCATAGAGAGCTTTGTTTAATCGACAAACATGATCGGGGTATCGTGCATCTACAAAGCCCGAAGGTTGCTCCATGAAAACTGTCTCACTCAGATTACCATGTAGAAACGCATTATTGACATCCAACTGATGTAATGGCCAGTTTTTATGAACTGCCAAGGAAAGAATAATGCGAACCGTTGAGGCTTTAACAACGGGACTGAACGTGTGAGCATAATCCAAACCCGGAACTTGAGTGAATCCTTGTGCTACTAAACGTGCTTTGTGCCGATCAATAGACCCATCAGAGCGATATTTGGTGCGGAAAAATCCACTTGGACCCAACAACATTAGAGTTTGAGGGTCGAGGCACTAAATCCCAGGTATTGTTGATACGAAGAGCATCAAGTTCATTATTCATGGCATGAACCCACTTAGGATGTTTAGATGGTGTTTTAAAACCTTTAGGATCATGATGAACAAGAAGAGCCATGTGTAGCCTGCTAGAAGAAAGGGTAGCAAGATCAACAAATAAGCGCTTTTTAACAATACCATTTTTACCTCGAGTGATCGTTGGATGACTTGAGATTGGTTGAGCAGGTGGTGTTGGCGGAGGTGGAGTTGGCAGAGGCGGAGTTGGCGTGGGCTGTGGCGATGATGCATCATCAGATGAGTCATGAAATTCAAAATCCTCATTTACATGAGAAGATAAAGGTGCGTGGGCTTGATCATCAGGACATATAACACATGGAGATGATGGCAAAGGTGGACGTGGGACACCAACATTTGAAAGAGCATTTGTGGAGGAAACAGGTGTTGTGATGGGAGCTTCTTCAAATGAGGAAAGAAGAAGAGTAGCAAGATCAATTGGTTTAACATGTCCAGTGAATGGAAATGTGGCTTCATCAAACTTTGCATGTCGTGTGGTGTAGATTTGAGAAGTTGTTGCATCAAGACAACGATAACCTTTAAATTTGGTGTTGTACCCAATGAATACGCAAGGAGTGCTTCTTGGAGATAGTTTATTTGCTGCATAATTCCTTAAATAAGGAAACACCCGGCAGCCAAAAGTCCGAAAAATAGAAAATTTTGGTGAGATGTTGAACAACAGCTCAAACGGGGATTTATTGTTTAAGAGAGTTGTGGGTAATCAATTTATGATGTATACAGCTGAAGTAAAGGCGTCTACCCACAAAGAAGCCGGAGCATTTGCATTAAACAACATTGCTAACCCTGTTTCGGTAATATGTCGGTGTTTCCGCTCAGCACGGCCATTTTGCTGATGTGTGTAGGGACATGACACACGATGATGGCTGCCATTTTTAGTAAGTAAGGTAGTAACTTGATTATTTAAAAATTCTTTACCCCCGTCTGTTTGAAACACTTTGAGCTTGCGAGAAAATTGTGTTTGAACAAATCTAAGAAAAATTTTAAAAACCATCGCAAAATCAGATTTTCTCTTTAATGGGTAGAACCACGTGAAACGGGAGAAGTCATCAACAAAGACAACATAATAAACATATCCGTCAGTAGAAATGACAGGTGCAGGTCCCCATAAATCACAGTGTACCATATCTAAAACATGCAAAGACCGTTTTTTCATTAATATCAAATGGAAGTTTATGACTCTTAGAGAGTTCACGAGAAGAACAGGTACTAGGCTTGGGTAAAATAGACGTAACGGACAAATGCCCAAGTTTATTTAACAAAGAAATAGTAGAAAACGACACATGTCCCAGTCGATTGTGCCAGATTTCATAGGATGCACGAAGCTTGGTGGAATTGAGTTGAGACAGCAAAGCTTTGTGAGCTTGTTCCAACACGTATAAGCCATCATCAACCCTGCCCTTGGCCAGCACCTCCTTGCTTTGACGCTTCTGAATTGTAAAGTTATTATCAGAAAATAAAACATCAACAGGTGAGTCAGCTGTGAGCTTGCTAATGGAAAGAAGATTCTTAGTAAGACGAGGAACAACAAGCACATCAGCTAAGTCAATGTTCTTTGTGATAGAAGCATTGCCAATGCGAGAAATATTTAAAATATTACCATTTCCAAACGCAACATGATCATTGTCTGTGTAAGGGATGGAAGTGGTGAGGTTGGAAGCAGAAGAGGTCATATGGGCAGATGCACCTGAGTCAACATACCAATCCGGAGAAGAATCAGTGCTGCGGCATTTGGAGTGAAAAGCATGTGCTAAATTCGCATCAATTGATGGGCCACGGCTTGCAAAAGTGGAGAGATCAGGGCATTGACTGGCATAATGGCCATCTTTCCTGCAAAGTTGACAGTGAGGGGGTCTGCGACCACGTCCCCTGCCACCTGAACGACCACTTCGTCCTCCTCGATTTGAATTTCCACGGTTAGATGAGCCTGAAAAACGGGATGGTTGAGCATTGAAGGCAATTGCTGGTGGGGACGAACCATGAATAGATTTCAGAAATAGTTCGTGTCCTTCGGCTTGAGAGAGAAGATCCCGAAACGTAGGTCTTGGCTTGACAGTTCGGTGAGCAGTAGAAAAGGTTTCAAAACTAGAGCCCAGGCCACATAGAAAATAGTGATATTTGTCATCATCATCAACTGGATGCCCTATTGCTGCAAGTTGATCACACAAGGACTTAAACTTACGACCAAATTCAGAAACAGAGAGAGAACCTTTTTGGAGTTGACGCAAAGAATCACGAAGATTCTGCATCCGTTCAACAGAGTCGTGGCTGTAGGCCGACTCTAGAGTTGTCCATATTTCACGAGAGGTTTTGGCGCCAAGAACTTCTGCCATCGCTTCTTCAGTGAGAGAAGATTGCAAGATAAGAGATGCACGTTGATCAACTTCAATCCATAGACTGTAAGCAGGATTGTCGGTGGATTTTTTCTTCCACAGTTATGATTGCTGGAGGAATCACAGAAGTACCAGAGACATGATCAAAGAGGTTTTGGTATTTCAATAAGGAGGTGATCTGATTTTTCCATAATAGATAGTTTGATGATGACAATTTGATTGTCAACAGGTGAAGAATGGTGTTTAGGGAGAGAGATCCATCAGAAGAAGACGAAGCCATTGAGAAAGAATGATTAGGGCCGGCTATAGATTTAGAGAGGGGAAGAGATATGATCGATAGGCTGATACCATATAAAGAATTGATATCAAACTCAAATAATCGGAGTGATGTATATTTATGTAAATATATCTGAGTATAAAGTACAACAGACTTTCCTATGATAATGGATTACATGTATTTAAAATAATATACTCAATATCTACTGAATATCTAATGGGTAGATTTTTCGTTTATAGTTTTCATGAAAACATTAGATCAAAACGCTCAGTTATTGGGATTTTTTATCAGGTCATTTTCTTTTGACGAACCTATTGCTGGAGACGATGAAGATTACTTCATTTGAACAGAAAGTTGAAGGAAGAGTCGTCAACGTATCATCCACTGGTCATCATTTTGTGAACAAAGGAACTTTCTCTGATCAAATTAACGATGAATCGAGGTAAACAATGAAATAATGAAGCCTTTATCAGCGTCACAGACAAAACAGTCTTTTTGCAAATTTAGTTGACTTCAATCCTAAGTAGCGCACAGGGACCGATGCTTAATGTAGTTTTATATATGTGGCTTTGTATTCTGCAGTTATAGCCATATACACGCCTATGGACTATCGAAGTTGGCTAATATACTTCATGCAAATGAGTTAGCAAGGCTTTTGAAGGTGATTTCAGTTTCTTTTTGGGATCTGATCAATTTTCTTGATTAAAATTTATGCTGACAACATCATTAATTTTGATCAGGAGGAAGGGGTCAATATTACCGTGAATTCATTACATCCCGGATTCATTGTCACTGAAATTTTCCGTAATTTTGGTATTTTCAAGGGTACGTATGCAATCCAAGGTTGACTAAAAAGAGATTTTGTTAGTGATTTGTATCACTAATATTATTTAAGTGTAATGAGATTAATTTGTTAACTAATGCAATCTTGATAAATATTAAACTATTAAGGCTGGTACGGAGTGCACACTTGTTTGAGTTTATTCAAAATTTAAAGTATGCTATCATTTAGGGGTGAAACCCCCTGAACCAACAAGGTCTGGGGGTAATGCCCCTTTGTAGCGGGGTCCAAGGGGTGGCATCCCTTGATGGGGTCGAAGGGGCAGACCCCCTGACTGGGGTTGAGCTTACGATTTTGCCCCTGATGTTGACCTTAACGGTTGACCCCTGACATATAACCATTTTTAGTGGCAGTTTTCGTGACAATTTTGAAACTATCTTATGGCAGCTTTGCTGTCAGTTTTCAGAAAAGGGTATTATACCCGTTTTTGGTCATTAATATGGTTCAAAAGATATTATAACCACACACATTCTCTGTTCCAGAACATCACTAAATTTTTTCTAATTGAGATTTCGAGAACCATCCAAATACTTCAATTTGATAGTGCAATCACAACTTTCAGTGAATCCAAGCAATTTCGAAACCCCGATTTTCTAACAGATTTAAATGTTATTTAATGACATTTTCTTACCTCAGTTCTATGCAATGCGATTCTCAGACACTTTGTCAAGGATGTTTCACAGGTTTGTAGTTTAGTTTTGATTTTGTTGAAATAATATTTGCATTTACTAAACAAAATGAATTTCTATTAATCAATTTGGTTTTCAGGGAGCGGCAACCACATGCTATCTGGCGTTGAATCCAAAGGTGAAAGGTGTCACTGGTGAGTACTTTTCTGACAGTAATTTGGTGAAACCATCATCGAATGCTATGGATCCAATGTTAGGCAAGGAATTGTGGGAGTTTAGTTTGAGCTTAACTACCACCAAGTGATTACGCTTGAGCTTTAGGTGCAAGTATATGGAGATATATATAACAAATTTGTATGACATAAATGAATCACTTATAATACTATTATATAAAATTATATAATAATTAGTTCTATAATCAAAAGTTTATAATGTTACTGTGCATGATATTCAAAATCCTCTTCTTTTTGTTTCCATTAAAACCCAAATTTATCAACTTATTTCCACACATAGATCCTTTGTTTTTTCCCAAAAGGTTTTTTCTAGAGACTATTTCATCTTTACTCGTCATACAACCACACATGAAAACTTTTGATCTTACTTCCATATATCACCTTCTTTTTTCATGGTTTGTGTATCCTAAAAAACGACGATCCTTTTTTTTAGATGAAAAAAATAAAAGGGGAATGATTTTTCAGTATGGATAACCCATGACTACCATATACTATAATCATGTATGAGATATTCTGCATGAGTAAGAGTATGCACATAACCATAATATACTATAGTGATACCACTATTCTATTGTCAGTTTGATCCCATTAGGGTCGCTGATAGCTTATTTTATTTCCTTATTTTTATTAGTTTATTTTAGATTTTTAGCTCTTTTTATTAGTATTGCATTGTATATTCTTTATTTTCTTTATCATGGATCGTATCGGGGACTTTTTATTTTGCATGAGGAATTACATGTGTTAGTGTCCGATATGAATATTTTCCTGTAAAGAACAACATCTTATAATGGTTATGAGGAATGAGCACCATGAACTACAAAACATGCCACAATGGGAATGGGTTGAGGCGGACCAAGTCTTTATAAGCTCATACTGTTGGATTAGGTGTCTAAGCCCATAACTATATATGGTATGTACTTGACCCGGTTGTAGCATGGTCCTTTTGGGTTGCCTTCACCAAAGCAACTTGACTGGATGAATAGTAGAGAAAGAGGTTATTATGGTTTATTAATATATTATATGAATAATATATTAAAGAAGAAATCATATTTGTTTAATTAATATTGGTCAAGAACTAATTAGGAATTAATTTTGTGATCAAAAGATATTAATTAAAGCTAAGGGACTAATATTGTAATTATTGGATAGTTGCAAAGTAGGGTAAGGAAACCCTAGAGATAGGGGTGGGCGAATTATTGGGGATAAGGCCTTAGAATTTGTCCAAGGTAGGGATTCCAGAACATTCTTATGGGCTGCTTAGAGCCTAAGCAACCGGATAAGTGTTTGACTGAAACCCTAACTCCTCACCTATATAAAGGGACCCTTGGCCACCTAAAATCGGCTACACATAACCCTAAGAGTTATAGGAGCCGATTTTTAGCCTTCCCCTCTCTCTCTTGCCTACTCCAATTGTTTTGGTGTTTGTGATCTATTAGAGGCACAACATTTGAGGTGCTAAGGTTCTCAAAGGCTCAAGTTCTTCAAGCAACATTCGAGGTAACTTTCTAACTAGTTTATTATATATGATTTCGATTTATATGATATGCTAGATTAGGGTTTTGCAAGTATTGGACAATTATGCATGTACAATTAGAAAAACCAGATCCAAGCATTAGGGTTTGCATGTACACCATAGGATTGTTGTAATGCTCAAAACCCTTCACATACATAGGCAAGAGATGTGGTGTTTGCATCGTCAAATACATAATCCTAGTTTTTCCCTATTTAAAGGATGTGATATGTGTTTGACCTAAGGGCCATCGTGGATGATTTCTAGTTATCAAATTGGGTTCTTGTATTCCTAAGGATGTTAAGTAAAGTGTAGCTTTTATCGCTCCTTACTCGCGGAGCAGCATACTGGAAAAATATGAACCTTTATCTATCTTATCATACGCAATAGCTCAATTAAAAGGGAATTTCATTCTCTCATTCATCATGGTGCAGCTTACACGTTGATGAGTACAATGTAATTCAAGTCACAACCAGTTTCTTGAACTATATTACGAAGCCTTGATCGTCAATTCTAGCAGACTGTCATGACATTGTGATTGTATATGTATGTGTGTGTGAATCTAATGACGAGAGTAAGTATGGTCCTACTTTTTTATGGAATTTAAACCTACATCATTAAGAGTGTACTGCACATAAGTGTTGCATTGTGCTTCTAGTGGTTTTTCTTATACGCTTATATAGTTTAATGGTTGGTAACAATTTCATTTTGTATTATATTTATGATGCATGTTATTAGCGTAATAACTTAATTGAAACCCTAAAGTGGTATCATAGATCCACCTTTTGGGACCATATTTTTGTATGAGTTGACATAAGTGGCAGAGAACATGTAAGTTAATGGTTTCCAAAGTATGTGAGGTCATTAGAATATAATGTCTTGCATAAGTGGAAGATTATAAGAGTTTGAATATAACCATAACACATCAATGTTCCTACTAGATTTTTAATTTAATCCAATAAGAGTCACGCATAAAAAATATGGTGTATAGTATGATCATCATCTTGTGACGAGGGAGTCTAATAGGTAAAAATCGTATATAAACATTTTGTTGGGTCAAAGTCGACGATACGAATGGAATTGTATAACTGGCATGTGGATTATGGAGTTATTATTAATAGGGTTGTAAACGAACTGAACGTTCGGCGAACAGTTCATGAACCGTTCGGCGGGAAGTTCGTTTATGTTTGTTTATTTAATAAACGAACGCACATGAACAAGATATCTGTTTCGTTTAGTTAAACGAACGAATACGAACAATGCTCTCGTTCGTTCATTTACGTTCGTGAACGTTCGTTTACGTTTGTTCATTTACGTTCGTTTGTTTGGGTTCGTTCGTTTATTTTTGTTTACGTTCGTTTGTTTATTGAAGGATTGGCTAGAAGGGAAATGGTTTTTGTCTTTTTGAAGTATTATTTAGTTATTTTTGTATGGAATGACAAACAACTAAGTGAAACTTTATTGTAGTGTTATGTTTTTGTCGAACAACTAAGTAGAACGTTATTATTGTATGGAAATGTTGAACACATGTTTGTTTTTGTTTAAGTTCATGGTTGTTTATTTATGCTCGTTTAAGTTTGTTTGTGTTTGTTAAATGTTCGTTTAAGTTCGTTTGACTTTGTGTTCGTTTATGTTTGTTTGTGTTTGTTTATGTTCGTTTGTGTTCATTTATGTTTGTTTATCAACTAAACGAACGAACATAAACGAACACGAACACATTAAATTGTTTAACGAACGAACACGAACATAAAAAGTATGTTCGTTTAGTTGTTCGTGTTCGTTTGTTGTTCGGTTAAAGTTAAACAAACGAACACGAACAAGCCTCTGTTCGTGTTCGTTTGGTTCGTTTACAACCCTAATTATTAATAATTTGTAATGTTTTTAAGAAAATTATATATATATATATATATATATATATATATATATATATATATATATATATAGAGTCAATATCAAATAAGAAAGAAATTTTTGGTAGGAAGGTAAGAAGTTTTTTTTCTATATATTTTTTTGACGAACAAACAAAATGAATCATTAAATGATTCATTTGTAAGATGATTCACAAGAAAAAATTCTCAAAAAAACATCTCGATGATTCATTTATACAATGATTTTGTTGTTTTTCACTAAAATTGTCATAAAAGTGAATTTTTTCTTAATTTACTTAAAAATGAATCATAAAGATGTTTTTTTTGGGAATTTTTTCTTGTGAATCGTCTTACAAATGAATTATCTAATGATTCATTTATTTTGTTCGTCAAAAAAATATATAGAAAAAAAACTTCTTACCTTCCTACCAAAAATTTCCTTCTTACCGGATCTATATCGTATATATATATATATATATATATATATATATATATATATATTATATATATAATATATATAGATCCGGTAAGAAAATTTTTTTGGTAGGAAGGTAAGAAGTTTTTTTTCTACATATTTTTTTGACGAACAAAATAAATGAATCACTAGATGATTCACAAGAAAAAATTCTCAAAAAAACGTCTTTATGATTCATTTTTAAGTAAATTAAGAAAAAATTCATTTTTATGACAATTTTAGTGAATAACAACAAAATCATTGTACAAATGAATCATCGAGATGTTTTTTTGAGAATTTTTTCTTGTGAATCATCTTACAAATGAATCATCTAATGATTCATTTTGTTTGTTCGCGAAAAAAATATGTAGAAAAAAAACTTCTTACCTTCCTACCAAAAATTTCCTTCTTATTTGATCTTGACTCTATATGAATATAGGATATAGATCTGGTAAGAAATTTTTTTTGGTAGGAAGGTAAGAAGTTTTTTTTCTACATATTTTTTTGACGAACAAAATAAATGAATCACTAGATGATTCATTTGTAAGATGATTCACAAGAAAAAATTTCCAAAAAAACATCTTTATGATTCATTCTTAAGTAAATTAAGAAAAAATTCATTTTTATGACAAATTTAGTGAACAACAACAAAATCATTGTATAAATGAATCATCGAGATGTTTTTTTGAGAATTTTTTCTTGTGAATCATCTTACAAATGAATCATATAATGATTCATTTTGTTTGTTCGCGAAAAAAATATGTAGAAAAAAAACTTCTTACCTTTCTACCAAAAATTTCCTTCTTATTTGATCTTGACTCTATATAGAGTCAAGATCAAATAAGAAGGAAATTTTTGGTAGGAAGGTAAGAAGTTTTTTTCTACATATTTTTTTTGCGAACAAACAAAATGAATCATTAGATGATTCATTTGTAAGATGATTCACAAGAAAAAATTCTCAAAAAAACATCTCGATGATTCATTTATACAATGATTTTGTTGTTGTTCACTAAAATTGTCATAAAAGTGAATTTTTTCTTAATTTACTTAAAAATGAATCATAAAGATGTTTTTTTTGGAATTTTTTCTTGTGAATCATCTTACAAATGAATCATCTAGTGATTCATTTATTTTGTTCGTCAAAAAAATATATAGAAAAAAAACTTCTTACCTTCCTACCAAAAATTTCCTTCTTACCGGATCTATATATATATATATATATATATATATATATATATA